TAAGCTGGCGATTCAGCGGACGGCTTCTAAAGTTCAGAGGCAGGATCTGTGATGGCTTTGGGAGCCTCTGTCTCACAGTTGGTAACTAAGACCCTGGGAATAGATCTGACCCCTTCAGTAGAGAGTATAGTGTGAGGAAGGGCAGAGAAACAATTCCAACTCTCAGAAAAAGGAAAAGAGAATAATGATTCGGCAGGGATTGTCAAATGACATTGCTAGGTCGAAGGAGATACAGGCTTGAAAGAACCCACCGGAGTATTTGACGTCACGTCAGTGTCCTTGTGACTGGAAAGGCGAGTCTTGGTGAAGTGATGAGGTCAGAAACCAGATCGAAGTGGGCTGAGGAATAAATAAGAAATAAGGCAACAGAGTTAGCAGGAGAGACAGTTCTCGAAAGTTTTGCCGGTGAATATAAATACAAAGAATCCAGTAACGGATGAGAGTGTGAACGTGTTTCATGCTAATGAAAACAGTGCAGAGGAAGAGGAAGAATGGGGGGTTTGAGCTGCTGAGAGGGGAGGAGGAGTTGGAGAAGCTGTCCAAGGAGAGGGACTCGCACTGCCAGGGATGGACGCTTATTTCAACATAACTGAGCAGTCACGTCTGCTGCGTACAGTGGTGGACAGGCTTGGAGGGGCTGAGAAGACCTCGGACAGATTTTATATTCTATACAACGATGTGGACCGAGTAGTTAGGATTTGAGGAGAGGCCTGAAGTAGTGTTTGTGGAAAACAGAAGAGGGAAAGTTGGGTTGAGGACAGTAGGAGACAGGCAGGTACTAGTAACCAGAGATTTACAGTGTCGTCAAACCCCTTGAATTTCTAAGTGTATTAGGTACATGAATATTGCTTTCTCAAATCAGAAATCAGACCTACTCTGCTCACAGGGAGGACTAAGACAGATTTGACTATTTTTTCCTGAAGTGCTCAGTTTTGGTGCTGTCTTTGAGGCAGCAATTTTGTGAGAAATTTAAGACTGCTTTGACCTGGAAAAAAAAAAAAAGATTACATTGGAAATCAAACGCTTCTGTCCTAAAAAAAAAAAAAAAAGCTTCTGTCCTGCCTGCCTGACTGAAGGAAGCTGTGTCCTGCTCGGGGCTGTTAGCTGGGCACCCTGGGCTCAGGTGCCACCGGCGGATCGCAGAGTGGGGGTAGTTAGGCAGGCTGCCTTCGCTGCTGCGTGAACTAGAACTCCCGGTGTGTACTTCCCTTTTGGCTTTTAAGAATGTTTACTTGGGGCACAGAGCTCTTTATAAGATCAAATAAATCTCTAAGTTTAGTGATTTTCAAAGATGTTTAAAGCTTCAGAACCATTTTGAAAAGCAAAGTGTGAGGGGCTGGGGATTTAGCTCAGTGGCACAGCACCTGCCCGGCAAGCGCAAGGTCATGAGTTCGATCCCTGGTACCGGAAAAAAAAAAAAAAGAAAAGCAAAGTGTGGCATAGACAAAGATGATATAAGAATCGCTCTGGTTCCACTGGGCCAAGGACCTGGGACCCCGTCACTCACCCCTTCCTTCTGTCCTCTTCATTCCACTTTCTGGGTGGACCCCGGAGACATCACCCTTGAGCCTGGTGGCCCCATGGAATACTGGTTAAGAAATACAATTCTAGGTGGTCCTAATTGTATTGCATTTCATCAAACTATAAGGTTCTTAAGATCAATTAACTACGATTTGAAAATAATTTTCCCTGTAATAAAATAGGCAAGCTACTATCTACTTTGACCTAATATATTCATCACTAGTTTTAGTGATTATAGGTACTAATTGGACCAAAAAAGTCACCATGACAACTATTGTGAAGTACTGTATGTTATAAAACTGGGTTTGAAAAGCCAGTTACTCCTTTTATTTCACTGGGCTGGTCAGGATTACCAAAGTTAGTAAATGGGGAACCCTTTACCAAGCTTATGAGTAGAAGTGAAATTCATTATCCTCAAAATAATTGATACATGTTGGTGGCAAGAAAGGTTAACTCCTGGGGGCTGGGGATTTAGCTCAGCGGCAAAGCGCCTGCCTGGCAAGCGCAAGGTCATGAGTTCGGTTCCCGGTACCGGAGAAAAACCAAAAAAAAAAAAAAAAAAAGAAAGATTAACTCCTTTACTCTTGGGCAAGTACACATTACCTCGCTTTTGCTCTTCCATGAAGATATGACTTTGCCTAGGGCTGAAGGTACCTACAGAGACACCCCTGAATGTTTTCAAGAAAAGAACAGCTTTCTGTTGGAAACTAGAGCAGGGATAGGCAGAAGGTGAGGAATGGCTGACCTAGGGCAGGAAGCACTTGCTAAGAAAGTTGTGAAGATGAGCCATCACAGGGCATGTGTGCCCCACACAACACCTACTCATTGACTTGCATTATCTTAATCACCTCTGCAATTTGACAGACATGATTCACTTTTATATTTGATGAAACTGAGGCCTGTAGAGGCTGAGTAACTTAGCCAGTCCACACTGGAAATCACTAGCAAATGTGCTAAGTGTCACATTTCAGATCAGATCATTTGATTTGAAGTGAATTTAGACCCATTGGCCAGCTGGGGATAGCAGTGGTTGAGACTGGGACGGCAGTGATTAAAATCGTGAAACAGGAAGAAAAATGCTAGTCGTCCAGGCCAGAGTGCTACCCCGGAGTTGCGGACCTCCAAGGACTCACAGAGAGGGAAGTGACTCTGAGAGGCTGATGAAGTACTGCCCCTTAGAACCTGCTAATTGCCTGGCTAATTGCCCCCACAGTGCCCCTCTCAGTATTACGCAGGCCTCGGGCCTCTTGGGGATTGCCAAAAGGTTTGAATATTGAGATCAAATGGGAAGGTCTCTGGCTGCCTGAGGACTCCCTGTGGTGTCCTCAACTTTGGAAGTGGGCCCATTGATGGGGGTGGGCTTTGCCTTTCATGCAGGCTCTGTTTCCTGCAGACAGGATCTCAGTTCTGGCTGCCGTCCCTGACATCTATCCAGGCACATCCCCATCCACACAGCGAGGTCTCTGTCTACTGGAATGTGAAATCTTGTGCTAGCTGAATGGAAGCAGGTAGCAAAAGGAAATGTGAATGACTGAAAGGTTAAATATGAACTCGTGGGCCAGGTTAAAAAAAATTAGAGTTGTAAGTTTGTAGAAGGTTTTTCCCCACACTTCTTTAAATATGTAAGACCACTGGGAGAAAGTAACAAAGAACCTTTCAGATATTAGGGAATGGAATACCCTGCACCGATATGACTATTGAAAATACCGGGGGCTGGGGATTTAGCTCAGCGGCAAAAGCACCTGCCTGGCAAGCAGAAGGTCGTGAGTTTGGTTCCCGGTACCGGAGAAAAACCAAAAAACAACAAAAAAAAAAGAAAATACCTATATTTTTTGTTTGCATGGGCTGATAAAAAGCTGTGTATACTAGAGTGATGTCAATTTCTTGTGTATAAGTCGGATATAATCTTTGAGTTATTTCTTGAAGCAATGCTTAATTCTTCAGTAACTGCAATTTGCTCAAATTGGATGGTTGAACCTTACAGACTATTTCCTGGAATATTTTTCCCTAAAAACATATATAATGGGAGTAATGATAGAATTCATTTGTTTGCCTTGATTCACTTAGGTGTTTTTGATTATCAAATCAATTGGGAGCCCTGTAGCTTCTCTAAGGCTCAATTTAACAGCTGTGTCATCCTTACATTGCTCTGCTTTGCATACAGTTCTGGGGACCAGAGAAAAGAACACTCTTTACTTCCTGTTCTGTTTTGGTTTAATGCCATTTGCAATCTGCATTAAAACTCTTTTTGTAGCCTCAATGGGAAAAAAGAAAATAACCCAGTAAACCAAAGTACCACTGCTTTTTCTTATAAAGAGGAAGAAAGAACAGAATTCGGGGGACATGGGTCCATTCTGTCATGTGTTTTTCCCTACCATACCTGGAACCATTCCTCACTGTGTGGTCCATCTTTGCATAGCAGACACTTTGCAGAAATTATTAACATTGAGAAAGCAGACAGAGATCTAATGAACTCATTGCTACTTCCTTCAAAACAAAATTGTTTCTCTTGCAATTCCTCCGTCTAATGCACACAATTTCGTTCTAGAAGTGCTAGTAATAGAGGAAATGATATTGGACCTTCAAATGACATAAGGGAGATATTATAACTCTGGATCTGCTAGATGTCTGATATGCTGAGTTTGTGTTCCTCAAAATCAAAGAACGAATTTTAAGGAACAAAGGAGGGTAAGAGTAGGAAATATTATTGAGGGGGGGAGATACAGCTCCTGAGAAGCAGGAGGGGCCCCAAATGGGTTGCTGAGGACCCCTCTTCTCAGGGAAAGTTTTATAGAGCACCACCGCGTGTTACAGCATCGGTTAATGCTATGATCAACCAGTAAGATTACAAGTACAGCTGCTGAGCCAATGGGGAAAAAAGTAATGCATGGAAAGGACAAAGAACTTTTCAGGAAGGAATGACTCCAAGGATCTTGGTCACCTACTGAGGTGACTGATGTCTATGTAGATGTCTTTAGACCAGGTGCTACCACTTATCTTAGGCCTGGTCATTCTCTTTACCTTGAGGCCTGGCCTCCATGGCATGCCCCTCCGGCCACAGGTGTAATGAGTTTTCATCTTGCACTGACTTTCAAGGGCCCAGCCCTATCTGGCTGCCTATAACTTTCTACCTCGCTTAGCTGTCTATAATACTAGTAATTATTTATTGTAAATTACTATACTGGTCACCTAATTAACTAGGGGTGTAACAGTAAGAGGTGTGTTAATTGTTGTTGTCAACTAGATTCTTCAGTGTTGGAAGATTTCGCAAACAAATGAAAGAATAAACTTGCTCTGTGCTCGTGTGTGCGTGTGTGTGTGTGTGTGTGTGTGTACTGAAGATTGAACCCAGGACCTTGTCCCTGAAGGACAGTCCTAGCTCTTTTTTTGTTTTTGTTTTGAGACAGGGTCTCCCTAAGTTGGCAGGTTGCTCAGATGGCTTGAATTGTGATCCTCCTGCCTCAGCCTCCCAAAGTGCTGGGATTACAGGCAGTGCATCACCAAACCTGGCTAATATAAGCATGTTCTTTTTGGGAAAATGGGAAAGATTGTTTTCCTAACCTCTGTGAACCACAGCTACCCACATAAGTGCCTCTGGAGGGGAAGCTGATGAAGAGAGGGGGCCCTTCGCCTGATCAGTGACCAAATCTGCAAATGCCGATCACATGGAAAACACCGCGCCCTTGCCAGTGTGCATGCGGCCTCTAGCTTTTGCTCTTATTAGCTAGTGTTGACCAGCGGTACAAAGCAAACATTGTGAAATGCTTATGGAGTTTAGAAATGCTGCTGCGCTCCTCGAATGATGGTAAAGTTGCAGATCTTACAGTAAGAGGCTCACATAGGAGAGCTTTGTTCAGTGCTGCAGGGAAAGCTTCCCAGAAGGGCTACTGAGGAGTTCCGGCTGCAGCGCCTGGGGAACAAACGTGCGCCTCCTCGCACTGCTCCACCTCGGGTCCTGAAGAGGTTTGGGCTGCCAGCAGAGGGAGAGTGAGCTCCGAAGACGGTGAGAAGGAACTTGCGGGTGTTGCTTTGGCCCAGATCCGCGCCCTGAAATGTGCAAGTGTGCAGATTTGTGCTTCGTGCTCCGTGCAGCGGGGAGCACACAGGCTTCCAGAGGAGCTCGTTATCTTTTGTCTTCTCTACCCCAGAAGGAAAGTGGTGTTTGGAAGACAATTAGCCGCTGAGAGGTTGTAGCGGCAACGTGTGAAAAATGTTAAAAGGAAAACCTATATTTAGCCTTCCTTTCAAAAGTTTTCCTGACCCGTTTGTGTTCCCGAAATAATTTATCATAATTGGCAGACATGCGGACCAAATGGTTTATAATTCGAAGGGTTTTGTTATTTGCCCTTTGCTTTTTAAATATGCAACTTTGGTTTCCGTACCTTTTGTTTTTCTTGTGACTTATTGACATATATTATTAATCAGTGCAATCGGTTTTTAAAGTGTGTATTAAAGTGAAAGAAACCCAGTTTACAGGTCAGATTACAGAAAGAAAAGCTATGCAGGAGTAAAGATGAGCTTATCTCTGGAAATATTTTCTGGAAAACAATGGCATATGCAAAACTGTGTTATCCACACGAATACTAATATATCATATGTGTCTTGTATATTGACATGAATATATGTGTGGGGTGTTGTTAGGGTCTTTCAGACAGAATCATTGTAGCCACTGCAAGCAGTTTAACCAGTGTATTTTAAGTACACATATTTTAGGTATTTTACATTTTAAAATACAAAACAGGAGAGAGAATTTACTTACTTGAAATATACAGAAAAATCTTTTTTTTTACATTTAGGATACCACAAAAACCAATGGGCTTAAAGTAGAAGAATATTTACTTTTTAAGAGTGGACCAGGGAAAGAGAGCTGTTGGACAGAATGAACACACTGGTATGTCCTGAGGTCAACATACGGCTGATTAAAAAAGAAGAAAGGGACGGGCATGCTGGCACACTCAGGAGGCTGAGGCAGGAGGACTGGTGGGATTTGAGGTCAGGTAGACTACATAGTGAGCTCAAGATCAGCCTGAACTACGTAGTGAGGCCCTGCCTCAAAAAAAAAAAAAAAAAAAGAAAAGAAAGAAATGAGTAGAATACACTTGTGTATTCGTGTTATGAATATCTGTATATATCAACAGAAAATATTGGAAGGGTACTGGACTGTAAATTGCAGCTTGTTTTGGCAAACAGGATTCTGTAAATCTTGTATTTTTAATGAGCATGTATTATAATCAATCAGTCTCTCTCATCTTTTTAAGGGAATGATATTATGGAAAGAATAGTCCTGACTTTGCTACTGACTACCTGTGAGATCAGTGATGAATAAATTGATCTGTTCAGTTTACACCAATATTATGAAAATAATTTGTAATTATGGATGAGAAAGACATTAACTTAAAAAAAATAAGAACACAGGCAAATAGAAAATATAGCAGTTCCATTGAGAAAATTGGACCAAGCCCTTCCCCTTTAGATCTGGTTTATTTCTCAGATCTTCAGGGCTGGGGTTGTTGGTGAGCAGCCCTATCATACAGCCCTTCTGTTTGTAAATGTTACTTCAAAAGGACTGAAATTAGGGAGTCAAAAAACACCCACATTGTACAAAAGATTATATATATTATAGAGTACAAAGTACATCATTAGTCATTGTTAGTGAGTAGAAAAAAATTAGCAATTTAGATTTCTTTTTTCTCAACACGTTGCAGAGTTCTGGACTGGTTTCACTACGTACTATAAAACTACATTAAAATTCTAGATTGTTTATATCTTCAGGAACATGGCTAATTTTAATTTTCATAGTGTCAGGTATGCACAAATTCTTATCCTTATGTTTCCTAGAATATATAAAATGTGTGTGGGAAATGCTTGAGAGTAGGAGTGCTTTCACATTTTGAATTCTTTTGGGTTTTTGAACATCTATCTATCTTTAGGGTGGGACCCAAGTCTAAATACAACATTCATTTTTTTTGTTGTGAACAAGTAGCTGTATTCATGTCAAATTTTTTTTTTTGCTGGTGCATGTTTGCACTACATACTGACTGCAGTCGTTGTGGAGAGTTGTATATAACACATCTTAGTTCTTGTTACGTCCTCTTCCCCTCCCTCCATCTCTTGGTCTGCTTCCCACTGGAAAAGCTCTAGCTCCATTTACTTATGTTTCACAGATCCCTTATACACACATTCTGAAGGTAATTTTATACAGTATTTTTAATAAGTTTGTTCATGGAACAATTTCATGATGTGGAATTTTCCATCTATATCATCAAATCATCATTCAAAAACTTTCTGATTTTGGAACATTTCAGATTTTACATTTTTGTATCAGAGATGCCCAGCCTGTATTCTGGTTAGAAGCTCTTTGACAAATATGTCCAGCTTGTATTGTTTTCTACAACCCTGAAGAGTGATTTCAACTTTGCTGCTCTTTGGCTTACATTTGGTTTGCATTTTATATTTACTTCTGCTTTTTTTTTAGTTGAGTACAGTTGACAAAATCTTATGTATTGGAAGTATACACCATCATGTTTTGAGATACAAATGCATGTGAAATGATTACTGCAATCAAGCTAATATATCCATCACCTCATATATTTACAGTTGTTAAATTGATCTGCTTAGAAACAGTTTATAATAGCACAATTAAAAAATACATCCTCATAAAAATGTGTTTAGCATCTCACTGCTAGATTATAGCAGTTTCTATGCATCAATGCACTTTTGAAAATAAGGAATTGGCACTGCCATATATAATGCTTTCTAGGTGTCTGTTTCACATAATAGTACGGTAGGCAGTTTTTCACCTCAATTGGTTTTTTTGTTTGTTTGTTTGTTTTTTTGTTTTTCTCGGGTACCAGGAATCGAACTCACGACCTTGCGCTTGCCAGGCAGGCACTGTGCCACTGAGCTAAATCCCCGGCCTCAGTGTCATGATCTTTGGATAATATAATTCTTAACTTTTGTCCATCCTTTCTCTTACCCTCCTTTGTACTCTGTCCTCTCCTCCTCATTCCCTTCCTTTTGTCTAATAATGGTCTCTGCTCTATGTATGTTCATGTTATCTTTGTTAGATTCCACCTATTAGGGAAAGACACACAGCAATTATGTACTTGTCTCTCTGAGTCTGGCTTATTTTGCTTAACAGGATGAGCTCCAGTGATGCTGTACTTTTACTTCCATTATTTTCTGCTTAGTGAAATCTGCAGGAGACAAACTAGCAAAATTGTAGGCTGCCAACTGGGTGAATAATTGAAAAAACTTGATTGTCAAGTGATAAAAAGAGAGGATAAGAAACGACAAAATCCTAGCAAGCATAAAATGCTTTAGAAGCACCAATGCAATAAAAATTTAAAATTTCATATTTTTTATAATACATAAAATTTTATATTTTTTATATTTTTAAGAGTTTCCACAGATATTAAATATGTGGGCAAAGGTAAGGAGTGGTAGTGGGTTTTCTCATTTAAAATGAACAGACTTAAATGAATGGATTTATATTAGTCAGTGTTTCCTAAATCAGGTGTGGAAGAGAGCAGATGTCTGTCTGCATGCTGGAGACCCAAAGGATCCAGTCGAGGGCTTGGAGCCCATGGTAATGTCCCGTGCAAGTCCCTGTCAGGAGGCTGAAGGATCCGAGATGGGAGACTGAAGGATGTGTGCTGGAAAGACCCAAGGGCCAGTGCGGGGAGCTGAAGTGTCTGTCCCAAAAGGCTGAAGGGTCTGAGCCAGAAGGCTGAGGTATGTGCACTGGAGCCAGGAGATGATGTCCAAGATGAAGAGGAGATTTGAAGATCTCCCGAAGGAAGACAGTGGCCAAAACTCCTTTGAGGAAAAAATCGCTTCTTCAGGAAAATCAGCAGCCTGCAATCTTCTCCTTCTGTTCTTTTATGCCATTCTGGCAATAATCCTCAGGTGGGCTTTCCATGCCCAGAACCATGCTAACCCAGTTCAGCTATGGTTCCACAGTCAAGTTGACCATTAATAATCCACCACAAGACTATTAGATGGTCTATAAATTAAAAATGTAGAGATGAATGGGTTAAACTACTCCAGGTTCATAGACAGACTAAATTTTGTGTAGTTCTAAATCCATGCCTTTTTCTCAATAGATTTTTTTTCTGGGGGGGTATTGGGAATCGAACTCGGGACCTTGTACTTGCCAGGCAGGCGCTTGTGCCACTGAACTATATCCCTGGCCCCTCAATAGATTTTTGCATCATTGTTGGAAGTGTGTTCTTGGCTAACCTTGGGTATATCTGAGACCAGCTCAGCTAAGTGACTGATGAATCCTGTTAACAGGGTAAGGATCTTGTACTTGCTGTCAAGATTCATACACACATTTGGTATTTTGTCCATGACCCAGAAGAGAACCATCTCCTTCCAGCTGTAAGTCTGTCTCAGATGAAGCAGTTTACAAAATATTCTACCCATAGAGGCTGGGTTTCAGCATCCACCCAGAAGCACCACTGGTTTTATCATGTATCTTTATCATGTGACTCTTTTTTTTTCTTTTTTGGTGCTGGGAATCGAACTCCGGACCTTGCTCTTGCCAGGCAGGCACTTGTACTACTGAGCTATATCCCTGGGCCACTATCATGTGACTCTTGAGCAGAAATTTAATATTTTTTTCAGTGTGGTAAAAAACACATAAATTATCAACATGTTTTAAAACAAAATCTAACACTATATTTTTCCTTATTTTCAGTGACACTGGAGAGAAGCTAGAGGTGCTCTGTATAATTTGTTTTGTCAAGTCATTCAGATAAAAAAGAAAAAATTGATATGTAAGTCGAATATTCAAAGAATTATTTTAGTTATCTAGAAAAATAATTTGTTTCTGGAGTCAGTTAACTAAAACAATACCTATTTTTTTTTTTTTTTTTTTTGGTTTTTCTCTGGTACCGGGAACCGAACTCACGACCTTGCGCTTGCCAGGCAGGCACTTTGCCGCTGAGCTAAGTCCTCAGCCCCTAACAATACCTATTTAGTTGACTCTTGTCCTCATAGCTGTCTTCTTGACCAGGAAATGTGGGCGTGGCTCCTTAGGGACTGTATGCACACAATACTATGGTTCCAAAAATGTCCCCCTTTTTGATAAATATTGTTAAATGACATAAATTTGAAAAAAAAAAAAACAAAAACAAAAACAAAAGAAACCTGCTACTGGGGCCTATTGATCCCAAACATACTTACTTTCTATGAGCAAATGAACAAAATATCACTATTCTGGTAAAAATATAGTGCTTTATAAAGCATTAATTTTCACTTCATAGTTTTCAAGCAAAATTCTACAGGTATAATACTAAATATAAGAAAAGCTATCTCATTGCCAGTTTTTGGAAGAAGGTATATATTGTGATTTTTTTCTATCCCTCCCATTTTCTCTTATGAAAAAGGTACTTATTTTTAAAATGTAAAATCCCAAAGACAAAAGGTGTATTTCCAGAAAAGTACCCTTGAAGACCAGGGTAATAACTCAGGAGTAGGTAGGGTGTAGGCTTAGCATTCAGAAAGTCCTAGGTTCAATCTCTAGCACCACAAAAATAAAATAAAAGTAACAGGGAAAATATCACACACTTTAGAAAGCCTTATGGTGGATAGCTCATACTGTGGTTTCTAGCAGACTCAGTTTGTGAGCAGTCTGGTTTATTTTAATGTTATCAAGAACAAGTCAGCCATATGACTACAAGTAAAAGGAAGTTAAAATATGTGTTTGCAAATTCAGTAATTTGCAGATTCTAGAAAGGACCACATCTAGGGAAAATGATATTGTAGAAAAAAGAAAAAGAAAAAACGCCATCCTGAAAATCCAGCAAAGTCTCTAAGCTTCCCTCAAAACCTATAATTTTCTGGTGTGGTAGGTTAATTGGAATAAAATATTTTGCCTATGTTTAGGATACCAGTATAACAGTACAGGAACAAGTATTAGCTTGGGTGTTGTGAGTACTTGACAACGTTCATATCTTTTCTCGATAGAATCAATCCCATTCCAGCTATCCAAATTATTTCATATTAGAATAGTACTATATTAAGTATTGCTTGAATATTAAATGCTTATGTAAGGCCAGTGATTGGCACTTCAGTATATTTCTGTACTCTGAAAATGAAGTTTATTCTGAAAATGAAGTTTATCAAGTTCTCGATAGTTCTTATGTAGTTCTTTTCCTGTGGAGTAGGGTAAAGAATACTATCATTTTTACTTTCTAAGTAAGGGAATTAGGACACTAAGAAGATAAGAGATTTATTTAATATATCATTAATGAAAGCTTTTAACAATAAATAAAATATCTATCATTTTGAGAATAAAAGAAACAGAAAGAAAGGAAGAAAAAGAGGGAAAGAATGAGAGTGTGAGACTTGTCAATGTATTATATGAACACTTTTCTGAGCACATATTAGTCCTTTTTGCATAGTATATATTTTTTCACATAGTATATTTAAACATTAGAAAATAGATTTTACTTTGTCCCTTTCTCATATGTATCCTAAATTTTCTTAATAGTGTATTTTTGTTTTGTTTTGTTTTTTTATTTTTTTCTGATACCGGGAATCGAACTCACAACCTCCCGCTTGCCAGGCAGGCGCTGTGCTGCTGAGCTAAATCCCCAGCCCCAATAGTGTATTTTTGATCAGGATCAATTTTTGAATAATACATTTTGAAAAAAGTGTGTTCTTAAAATTTCCCATTTAGTTGTACATGAGTTCAATTCTCTCTCTGAATCTTTTAAAGATCTCTTGATCTCCCCTACCTGCCTCATCTGTAAGTCTTTGACACATATCATGACGTTGTGTAGTGTGGATCTACTCTGTTCAGTAGCCAGGAGGCCCCACCTGGAAGCGATAGAGAAGTTGTAATGTTAGGCACCAAGTTGGAAAAGAGATTGAAGTGTTATAAATCTGGTCAATTCATAGTTTAGATAGAACGACAACTTTGAGATATTTTTCTATATTTGTGTTTTCTTATAGTAGTGCAATTCAACCAGGTATTTGTCCTGTCTTCTCACTGGGAATACTTTGTAGCAGTCATAATGAGCATTCATCCACAGAAGGACCTCAGGCCCACCACACTGAATTAATTTGTGTGTGTGTGTGTGTGTGTGTGTGTGTGTGTGTGTGTTAGATAGTTATTATCACCATTTTGCAGATATGAAACTAAGCTTCACATGGTTCTTCAACTTGTTGGGGTCCCACAGATGGTGGTCTAGCAAGGCTTCCAATCCATGTCTTCTGACACTAAAACTCCTATTTTTAATCATGTCAAACTATAAGTCGTGTACCTAAATATACAGCTAATTATTTATGTAACAGTGATGCTGTAATGATATACCCGCTTGGGTTACCTTTACCATACTCCGTCATGTAAAACATTGATGTAGGGTGAGATTTGGTGTGGTTCTGTAGGGTGTCTGCAATGAACGACAGTCTGACTACAGTACCCTCACCCGCTTCCTTTACTGTCTGCGTTCTGTGGAAAAGGTCCCTCCACAGTCTTCATGTGGGGAAGAAGCAGCACCTGCTATTTCCTAAGATTCAGAGCTGGCAGGGTCAGTCCTAGCTCTGCTACTTGAGATTCAGGTCTGTGGGTCTCAGTGATGTGATCCTCAAAGGTGAGAACATGCTGTTTCTTGCCTTGGGCGGGGATCCTTTGGGCACCCACAGAGGGGCATGGGAACCTGAAGATGCGAAGCTATTTTTGGAGAGCTCAGTGGAGAACAGTCGAACATTAAGGGCAAGTGACGACTGCTCCGGGGCACAGGCCCCTGGTCTGCTGCTCTCTTCTCAATAATTACTAGAAAATACATCTACACTCAAGTCTGTGGCTAAATTTAGGGTGTGTATTTTCTGCTTTTCTCTAAATCATAACTATAACTTCTACAGAATTGAACTGAATTATAAGAAATTAGATTTTTATTTCTCTGCTGGTTATTACCGTTCTTTCTACTTCCCTGGGTTTTTTTTAGAGCAAGGACTTTGTCTGTTTTTCTAACTTCAGAATCCTCAGTGCCTTGAAGCTCAGGACAGGAGTACAGCAAGCACACTGGGATAACCAGATAATGGTAAATTGAAAAGTCCACTTGATCTAAAGAAATCTCCATCAAGAGCATGAGACCCAACAGGAAAATCAGGCTCAAGCTGATTTTCTTTATATGTGATACGTTTCTAAGAAAATTACAGAATGAAGTGTATTTTTTGTTTGTTTGTTTTGTTTTGTTTTCGTCTTTTTGAGACAGGGTCTCACTATGCAGTTCAGACTTGCCTTGAACTCACTTTGCAGCCCAGGCTGGTCTCAAACTCACAATGATCCTACTGCCTCAGCCTCCCGAGTGCTGGGATGACAGGTGTGTGCCATCATGCCCAGCATGAAGTGTATTTCGAATAATATTTGGAGCTTTAAAAACTACTAGTGAGACAGTGTGAATTATTTCTGTTTGAGTAGGGCTTTGACATTGTGCGTGCTTTCATGATGAGACTTCCCAGTTTTGTTCCGGGGCACAGGAGTCTGCTTAGTGCCACTGTTCAGTGTAGGTCTACACAGTAAAACCTTGCCTGTTAGCACGGAATTTTGTACCTGGAACACTAAAAATATGCAACCTTTTTCTCTGTTGTATAATTTTTTAGTGTAGATTGTCTGAAATTCTACAGTGAAAAACACGGATATGTCGGTTTCAGTAAGATAAAAAGTTGTTAGACTACAAGTATCTATATTTGCTTTAGAGCTCAAATAGTACTTTTTAACTTGGGCATTCTGAATATTGTAATTCTTGATTAGTGAGCTGGTTATAGGACTCTGTAGCACTTTTGTTTTCTAAAATGGTTCAGAAAAGGAAATGGGCAAACATACAACTGAATAGTTTATGGGTATAAATGATGACTATCTGCCTTTTGTTTTTTGTTTTTTGTTTTTTGTTTTTGGGGGGATTTTTTTTGTCTTTTTGAGACAGGGCCTCACTATACAGTTCAAGCTAGGCTTGAGCTCAGTTTGTAGCCCAAACTGGTCTCAAACTTGCAACGATCCTCCTGCCTCAGCCTCCTGCGTGCTGGGATCACAGGTGTGTACCACCATGCCTGGCCCCTCTTTTGGTGATGGAAAGTTAAGAAACAATTCGCAAGAAAACCTTACTCTGTGTACTGCCCATTGAAGGTCTGTGAGAAGGAAACCATATAGGCAGTAGCGTCAACTATGCCCCCTCACCCCTGCCCTGTACTGGGGATTGGAATGAGAGAGTGAGATAAATGCTTCCGGGTCATGACCCCAGTGACTGTCTCTTTTCACCAGGCCCCACCTCACACCAGCGTATTCAGCTCTGCTGCTGCTGAATACAGTGCCCCTGTGATGCCATCACCAACCTTTGAACACCAGAGGCCTTTCGGGGACATTCTGGATCTATACGCTAACAGCATCCTGGAGGCCTAGGGCCTGTGCATCACCCGCCCCTGCTTGGACTGGCACTGTCAGCTTGACTATATTTCCCTTCTGATTTTCCTTTACCTCTAAGGCCTTTCTCTGCACTTCCAGGGAGAGCATTCTTCTAACCAGTCACCTATTCGAAAGGTGAATATGTTCATTTCCAGCCTGTTGGAGCAGTCTTGAGTGGGGCGAGCTCAGCCCAGCTCTGCAGCGGTGCGTCCTGAGGGATTGGGTTCCTCAGGGTTATTACCATTCACAGACCTCAGGGAGGTCTGTGAAGCTAGTTCTATGCTTTTGCCAGCCCTGTGTGAATAATTCAGATTTTGTGGAGGACCTGAAAGAGCATAAGCAAGAAATGGCATCATCAGATTTTCA